TGTTGTTAAGTGCCATTGAGTCAGTTCTGATTCATAGCATCCCTATGCACAACAGAATGAAACACTGCTCGTCCCTGCACCATCCTCACAAGTTTCCTAAGCCTGAGTCCTTTGTTGCAGACACTGTTTCTATCCATCTGGTTGAGGGCCTTCCTCTTTTTTGGTTCCCCATCCATTTTACCAAGCATGTCGCTCTAAGTATTTAGAAATGAGCAAGAAAGCCTGAGTTCCTGACCTCATGGGCTTATGTTTTAGAATGTGGTGTGCATTCAAGTAAGCAATGACAGTAACAAAAGAGATAATATTAGACTGTGATAAATACTCAGAAGAAAATAAAGCAAAGCAGTATATATAATAAGAGGTAGAGGATAAGAGCTATTTTAGAGGGGATTCCAAAAAGATCTTTGAAGAGGTGACATTTGAACTGAACCTTGAATGATTCAATGGGACCATTTTTGAAGATGCAAGATTCCTGAAGCAGAAATGAGCTCCATGTAGTTAAGAATCAGGAAAGGGACCCGAATAGCTGATGAACAGTGACTGAGAGAGATGCTGAGTCGAGGCTGCATTGAGGGAGGGACAAGGCTTTGAGGGTTATGGTGAGGAGATAACATTTTATTCAGTGAGAGAGAAGCTATTGAGGAGGTCTCAATCGAGGCATCATTTAGATTTTGATGAGATGTAGTTTACATTTGAAAGTCTGATTATTGTGTGGAGAATGAGTTCTAAAAAGAAGCTGGAGGAGGACTCAGGGGAACCATGTTGGAGGTGATGTAACTGACCAGTCCCGTGGAAGGATGAAGGTAGTTTAGTGTACTCGTCAGGATTTTCCAGAGAAACAAAATCAATAAAGTATGGAAAAGGGTAAATCAAAAAGGATCATGCTCTGTGCATGTTGGGACTTACCTTTGTGTATATTCTATTTGATTTACCTGTGTGTATACAAATATACATATACATACACATGCACTTGAACATAGACATACACATACACACAAACATAATCTAAATAGAATTTATATATTCAGTTCCCACATGCATGAGTTTATTCCATGCAAATCACGTTTAAACATATCTCTGCAATCAGTGGATGGATGCACACATGTTCTTTGACTGATACACATTTCTTAGTCTCCCTTGGGTGCCTTCAGGAAAAAAAAACTGGAAACAGTGACTTACGATGGAATCTGCAGAGCCAGTTACAGTTAATGAAGAGAGGTCAAATCAGAAAGTTAGGTCATTGTTTTTGACAGATTTTTTTTCAAAGGACACATGATGATCACAGGAATTTACTCTGAAATGTCAAGGAAATTGAAAACTGCCCTGGTGAGAAAAAAACCAGGAAAGATTATAAAGTCCTTGTATTCTGAAATTCATCTGTGTATGAACATTTGCTTTAAATGACAACAACTCTGTTTCTGTGTTTCAAGGACTGATTTTTCTTAAGAATTATTTGCTGTGGCTCTAACACATACACAAATCAATTCAAAGGAAGTGGGATTTAACAATTTTCTTTTTTCTTTTATTCCTCATTATCATAGATACAAAAAATCTCAACAAAAATCCTACCCAATATACTACAACATAGCAAAAGAAATCATACACCATGACCAAGTGGAATTCATACCAGGTATGCAGGCATGGTTCAACATTACAAAAATAGTTAATGTAATCCACTAAATAAATAAAAGAAAATCACCACATGATTATATTGATGGATGCAGGAAAGTTATTTGACAAAATCCAACACAAATTCCTGATAAAAACACTTAACAAAAAAATCAATAGAAAGTAAATCCTCAACACAATAAAGGAGATATATACAAAATCAATGACCAACGTCATTCTAAACAAAGGGAAACTGATAACATACCTCTTGCAAATGCTATTGCTCGTGGGTGCTAGACAAGGAAGTCCTCTTTGGTCACTCCTGCTCAATATTACATTGGAAATCTTAACCACAGCTACTAATCAACAAAGAAAAAATAAAGGCACTCACATGGGCAAAGAAAGTAAAATTCTCTTTATTTGAAGATAATATGATTCTATACATAGAAAATTCCAAATACATTGCAAGAAAATTGATGGAATTAATGGAAAATTTTAGCAAAATGGCAGGGTTCAACACACAAAAATTAGTTGGATTACTTTATGCTAACAGAAAGCAGAAGGAAATCTGGAAAATAATATCCATTTACAATAGTCACTGAAAAGATTTACTATATAGAAATAAAACAACAACAGAAACAAAGAGCCTCTATAAAGAAAACTATAAAACACCACGAAAAGAAATTAAAGGGGATCAAATAAATTGGAGAATATACCAAACTATTGGATAGGGAGACTTAACATTGTAAGCCTGTCAATACTACCCAAGCAATCTACAGTAATAATGTAATCCTGATCTTAATTGCTGCATCATTCTTTAACGAATAAAAACCAACTTTAAATGGAAAAGAAAGAAACACTAGATAAGCAAAACACTACTAAAGAGCAAGTAAGGTTTCCATACATACTACACAACCACAGTAATCAAAATAGCTTGTTACTGGTGCAAGGCTAAACCAATGGAACAGAATTGAGAATGCTGAAGTAAGTACATTAATCAAGATAGCTGATATTTTGCAAGGAGCTGTACCATTAAATGGGGGTTAGTCTCTTTAACAAAGTGATGGCAAAATTGTGTATCCATTTGTAGAATAGTTACAAAGAACCCATATCTCATAACATATGCAAAAACAAACTCAAGATGGATCAAAGATCTAAATATAATACCTATAATTATAAAGATCAATAATGAAAACAATAGGAGCAACTTTAGTGGCCCCAATATATGACATAAATACACTATCAAACAACAGAAGGAACAATAGATGACTAGGAGGTCCTAAAAGTAAGACAATTTAATTAATGGAAGGACTGCTCTTAAAGGGACCACATTGGAAGGTCTTTGGTAGAATGGGAGAAAAAACTCCAAATCATTAAAACATAGTTAATAATCAGGTTCACTGGTCAGAGAGAGGGTGGTGGAATCCCAGAGGCTATGGCCGTTAGTTATTCTAAAAGTCTGGAAATGAACTTACTCTCATGGATCCATTTTCAGCCAAACAACAGACAAGGGAACATAACAATACCAAAAACTACAAAGGAAAGGAAATATGTACACCTCAGAATAATAAACCAGTTGAGATAAAAATGTAGCATGTAACCAAGGACAAAACTCAGAAGGCTTAGGAGAGAAGGATACTTGTAGAAAGTTGAATAAGTGATGTACACTTGAGAGGTTGGAAACAATGACATGAAACAAAATGTGTATGAATCGTTGATCGGAAAACTGATCTGCTTTGTAAAGCTTACCCAATTCACAATAAAAATCTTGAGAGAGAGAGATTGGATATCTATGATTGTCTTGGGGAAGCTTACTAAACAATTTTTACAAAATGTTTACTAGTCAAAGATACCAAAGAAGAATATCACTTAGGAAGTTTGTCTTTGAGATTCATATAAAAAACCTTTGGGAAAAAATAGTTGTTGAATATTTCAGTGTCTATTCTACTTTAAACTTTTATGTGAACACATTCTCTATGTTTCATAATTAATGAACATTGTTTGCCATACTTGCAGTGTAAATGAATCTGAACCTTCTTTTGAAGCAGCCAGAAGGTATTATTTCTATTTCAACTTGAATTTAATAAGAATAACTTTCCTCCTCAGACTTTACTTGATACTTAAACTCTTGTTCCTAAATCATGGTTGATGATCTACAGTCATGCTAGCATATTACCAATATCAGTG